CGAGTAATATTTAATTATTTGCTTTTAAGTTAAAGTTTGTTTAGTGGCTAATAATATTTGAACAATGACTACGTGCTAAAATGTGAGTAGGTATATTTTTTATTGTCAACCTTTTTCGTATCTCCGCTTCATCAATCATTTTGGCTATGGTTCATGATAAATAATATAATCGTATAGTGGTGTGTGGTTAGTCAACCAGCTGCCGCACCACGATTCCCGTACGGAACAACTCTTTGTGTAATCCACAAATTGTTGATCCGGGTCTAAGTGTTAGGTGTAGGTATGTGAAATTTTTAAAACTTTGCACTTTTTAAATACTGTCACGATTGCGTGGGCAATGTGGAGATACAAACTTTCGAATTGTTTCGGAATTATCTTTGATACCTAATACGTATAGGTATATACCTACAATCCCCTATTCTGTGTAGGCACCTGTTTTTTAATCTGTGTTCATGTCTCGTTTGAAAGAAGACTCCGATATATTCCTTTGTTGTCTATATTGTTCGACGTACATTTTTTAATATCTCCGGTTGTGAGTCAAGTTGATATCGTATTGTGTTTGTGTTCTCGATTGAATTTCAAATAGGTATTGAGAGGCGCGGATAAAAATATACGATAAAACATCGACATATGTGCATAAATAGATGGAGTATTTCCCATTTATAAACAGGGCCTTTTTGAAAAATGGTAATTTCCAAATTGTACATTAAAAATGTGCCAAGGGTTTCCCATATTATTATCTTTCTCTCATTTAAGTGTGGGAGAGCCAAGCTTCGGCACGAATGGGTCGGCTCGACCGGAGTGATACCACGGCCTCATAGAATACCGGCGTGAAACAACTCACAGCGTTGTGTTTCGCGCTTATATCCGCAACCCCCATCCCCAAAAGGCCGGCAACGCACTCGTAACTCCTTTGGTGTTGCGGGTGTCCATGGGCGGCGCCGATTGCTTACCATCAGGTAATTCGTCTGCTCGTTTGCCGACTTATACCATAAAAAAAAAATATTTCTTGCAAGCGCTACGCATAACTGGTATCAGTGTCCTCAGAGTATAGTTTTTGAAATGTATTAAATTTTATTTTACATTTTAAAACAATGCCAATTGTTTAATAATAGATTAGGTACTGGTCTGTGAAACATTCTGACATTTAGGTAAGTTAGGTTTATAATCAATGAATTAATTTGGGTTGGGTATTGTTAACCGTCCTTTATGACATAATAGGTTATTGTAGACGATGTCCATGACAGTGTGTAGATTCAAGGTCTTTCAGTACATTTATTTATAGGTAAGTATTAGATTCCTAACCTCGAGAGAAAGATCAGAAAGAGTACAATAAGTACATAAACTCAACTTACCATTCTTGCTGTTGTCTTATGTTACGTACTACTTATTGGTAAAAAGGGGGAAGGGAGGGAGATATGTTTTATTTGTTTAAATATTTTTCCCCACCATAACCTCGGCCCTTATTTATTTTAAGTAATCGAAGAATACAAATGGCTAAAAGCATACCTGACCTTTTCATACTCCCGGAGGGACAACTGATAATTTGTTTGTTTGTAATTAACAGTACCTAGTAAAATAATAACGTTAATTTAGTCTTGTTTTCAATACCGTACCCAAATATCATATTACATTAACCAAGTTTTGTTCAATTTAAATACGTTCTGCTATTAGATAAATTACCTACCTACCCACGTAGTAAAAGTTTCAGTAACTGAAATATAATTACCAACAGGCTGCCACTTTGTTAACGAGCGTACCACCTAATTGTGTTTTTGAACGATGTACAAATAAGTAAATTTACTTTTGAAACGTGTTAAGTTACGTTTTTGTTGTAAGTTTCCAAGTAATTTATGTTTTGCGTGCGTACTTAAAATGTTACAATACTGTGCTATGAACATTAGTGTACCTAGGTCTTGTCATTTGTCTAATGCGATGTAGTTGGCTGTAAAATTAAAATTTCAAAAACTGATTTCGAAAATAAAAACCTAGTCTAACAAACTCATTGTAAATGTATACGTAACCCCGATTGGAAGGTTCCGTCATTTTCTTTCCATTTTCCGAATCCTGCTTGAGTACCATCATGCATCATGCATCACTTGCGCATGCAAAGTTTTTGTATATATTTTATCTTTAATACTACCTACTGAATGGATTTTAAAGAAAATTCAGAGATAGGTTACTGGACACAATCATGTCATATGCTACTATTCATCCAGATAACGCGGGTGAAAATGTAACCTTTGTATATTGGTCTAGGGTTACAAGTGAAAGTAATTACACGAAATTAGTGGTGATTACTTTTTGGCTAGATATAAGCAGGAAAATATTGCTGGAGTTGATACAAAAACCATTTTTCAAAAAGACACGCTATTCATTAGTCCTAATGGATGTCTACAGTATTTCGTGTTAGTTTTTCTTCCGTGTCAGTACAATACCTATTTAATACAAAATGGTTAAATGTAGTGGGCAAAGCGGTAAAGTTCTATCTACTGCGAATTTATTAGTCAAATTAATTTATACCTGTGGTAAAATTACTTACAGTCACTACACGCCTCCATTTTAGCTCGGAATGGTTTGAGCTCAACTCGCGATAGGAGTTAGGGCCCCAAATTAATTCTGTCTAACATTCACGCCAGAACTAACTAGGGAATTTGGGTTTTAGGAATGAGGGTCGTTTTGTTTTAATCCGTTTCTAGTTTGAACCGATTTATTGCGTATCAATTAGAATGCTATAAATCGTGTGTTGTCTTAGAATAACAATGTTTTGTTTTGGAAGGTATTTTGTAGAAAGTAAAGTAGTTCTCGAAAATACTCTTTCTTTTATATAAGGAGGATTCTATTATATAAGGAGGTGATTATGTGCTGAATAATACCTATGAGTATTGGCATCTAACAACATCCCTATATGAGAAAGCATGCGATTTATTATCTTACTAACCTTATTCATATTATAAATGCGAAAGTTACTATGCTTGTATGTTTGTTACTCAATCACGCCAAAACGGTTGGACGGATGGGGGTGAAATTTCGCACAGGCATAGGAGACACTCCGGAATATGATACAGGATTTTTATCAACATACCACGCAGGCGAAGCAGCGGGTGGAAGCTAGTGTTACAATTCCTGAGAAATTCATTTCTGAAATATAAAACGTAAGACTTTTATGACTCCGTATCTTTTAATATTCCGTTTCACTACCCCTGTCTTTGTGGATATTTTCGTCTGTACGTATTTAATCAAGGGTACCTTCGTTTATGGCGGTAATAAAAGGGATCTTCATTATACCAAGCTGAGAAGCAGATTTGTGCTCTGTGATTATAATCAGAAATAAGTCTGATTAATTTCGTTAGGTACTAGATGAAATTAACGATGCCTTATAATGTCGGTATCTTCTCACCTAGTCGCCATGATGGATTTATTTCTCTTGTTTCGTTGAACTTGTTGAATATTTTGTAAGACTGTCACGTACTACAAGTTTCCATGATTTTATTGCTTTTTAACTATAAGTGTTACGTACTTGGCATGGCAAATAGTTTCTTGTTACTTAACAATTCTTGTCCAGTAGCACTTGCTAATGTTTTTTTATAAATAGTATTTATCTTCAATGTCTTTCAATGTAATGCAATCTTTAATAAACAAACGTAGTCTAAGATTTTTATATATTTTGATAACCGAAGAAAAAAATAGGGAAGTTCGTTTTGTAGATAAAGAGGAGACATAGAAATAGTAATTTTACTTAAGATCTCGTTCACCCTAAGACACGTTTTCTTGTAAAACTCAAAAATAAACAAACTTGACCGATATTCTCAACGAGAGATTGTTCAATCAAAACGTAGGCACTAATAAATATTCTGGTTCATCGTCTTACCTTCAGATTGCAAATACATTCACTTTGTTTAAGTATGTATGATCCTACATAAAAGCTACGCCTTGAATATTTGACGGTTTTAAGCACAAAGGAACTGGTTAAAAACCAGTGGTTATTTACAAGTGGGCAATAAGGCGAGGATCGTCCTTGCCTTGAACTCGTAATGGCATTATCTGCATTCTGTAAGTACGTACCGGTTCTTGCATAAAAAAGTACTAGGTACTACATGCAATTGATATGTACATATTCAATAGGCTTATGTAGGTGACAGGACACACAAAGACGTTAACAGTATAATAAATCGCTTTATTGTTTTTTTTCTGATGATTAAACCATCCGACGCTGACAACGTCGGATGGTTTAATAATTCATGGATGTAGGTTACTATCATTGTTATTGTTTTTTATTTTATATTTATCGATAAAGTGATTTTGCTAGTTGTTTAGGAGATGCAAACTAACGACCATACAGACTCATGTTAAACAGTCTGCGCCCCCTTTGGCTACATCGTAGAGTTACAAGTGCGTTGCCAGTCTTTTTGGGGTTAGCGATATGCGGATTAAAAAATATTAAATCTACTTAAATTGAAAATTTAAAACATTAAAATCTCTTTTAACTATTCTAGACTAACGATTCGCTCTCATTTCTCATCAATCTAGATTTATAAAAGGCATAATAGGACCCAGCTGAACGTTGTTAACAAGGATTGGCCCGACTAGCAGTGCCTACTGATAAAATACTCTTAGCACTGAACGAACCAACATAATGAGACTTGGGGAGGCTCTCAAGCTCAACTTGCACCCGATTCGCACACTAATGGAACCCCTCATTAAAATTTATTTCATTCCAAGGCGCCGTCATATTTATTTAGATTCTTTGGATATTTGCTTTCTAGATATTGTCTTTGTGTGTGTAGGTTTATTTAGTTTTTTTTTCTTATTAGATTCGGTAACAGAGCTAAGTCGTATATAAGAATATGAGTTTTAGACATTACACTAGGTACCAATTCTATCATTATAATATCTTCCCAATCACACAATTTTACTTTCTTCGGCGATAGTTTGTTTTTAATATACAATAAGGCATATGAGAAGGTATTCGATAAATGTAATGAATATCGATTTCTTACCTTATATCCCACATTTCTGTTTACTCCAGTATGGCAGGATTTGAGCCCCTTCAGTTGATCCAGATTATTGATCGGCAGGTCTTTGTGGACCACTATGACGGCTTCGTATCTGAACGGTGCTAAAATAAAAAAATAAAAACAAATGGGACTTAAAATTTAGAATAGGAGATCGCAACTTAAAACTGGTTCATCAGAGAGCGTTGCTGTCTTGTCTTGATCTCTCGTCGTTCGGCTCGTTCGACCGACGTGCACGTCGTTCTCCATAACAATTTATATTTTTTTCAATTCAATTTACATTGCAATGTAGAATTATGTAGTCACGATAAAGTAATAAACATACAGCCAGATTAGGTTATATAGAAAAAATTATAAACCTAAATAAATTTTTTTATGAACTACCACCTAAAATCAAATGCTTCATATTATAAACACAACAAGTGTTCCTACAACTCACTCATTAGGACCATTGTTCTATTCTATGAATTCAATGCAAAGGCTAGTAATTACTACCAAGCGATCCACAGCCACGTTATCGTTATCACGTTATCTTTAGCTACTCGTATAAAAAAAATAAGTTAAAACAGGTGCTTCTACATGTCATATTAAACGAGTTTCAGACTATGAAGTGAAATTCATAAATGATTAGAATAGGTATATTGTGATGAGTGAGTGAGATTAGTTTTTATATAGTAAATAGTAGATGATGTATGTGTAACCATTTTTTACAAATGGTCGTCTGTAATTACTCTTTATATTATTTCTTTGTCTAATTCTTAAGCCAACCTAACCTACTTCCTCGAAGTTACACAATTAATAAGAAAGGCAGACAGGTAACCATTTCCACGGTTTATCTTTCGCGTTACTCTAAACTCTTAACTTTATTATTTATTGTTTGTTTACCTTTACATTATAAGCTTATCTTGTGTCAGGAATTATTATATTCCATTTCCATGGACGTGCTTGAACTACGTGTTTGAACAATTATCTATGTTTGTTTTTCTAACTTTAACTCGAATAGAAAACAATACATGTAACCATCGATTGAGATTGCAGTTTAAAATGTTCACACGTTTATCGGACAGGTCTTCAGTTTTTTTATGATATTCTAAGGTGGCAAACAAGCAGACAGATAATCTGATCGTGAATAATTAGCGCCGCTTAGGTAAACCTACAACGACAGAGGAGATACAAGCAATGTGTTGCCACAAATTTAGGGGTTGTTCGAGTTCGAGAATTGGGGACTTTTTAAGGGAGGAAAAGAACTGGGCCTGCTTTAAATTTCACAGCGAAATACAACAAAAGCGTTGTTTTACACCGGTTCTCTATGAAGAGCTGGTATAACGCCCATTCGTGCCGAAATATGGCTTTCCACATTCACGGCTACTGCACTGTATCGGCTCATAACACCTGCATGTGGTACCTGAATAACTAGCTTACCCAACTTCATCTAAATGAATTTATAGACAACGATAGTTCAAAACAAAACTATACGTATGTATGTATTTTATTTACTATCACAAGTTGTTTCACAATCTATTAGAATGTTAGTATTATCGCGTCTGTTGTTATAACAGCTACAATTTCGATAGCCTAGGGACATAATATCATTTGTAACTTTCTCCCGATCAGAACTTACGCAACAAGTAACATTGTTTGGTATAAACACTCTTTAGATTGAAATCGATTGATAATGTTTTATATCTTTGAATAAATTTGTTTTTATTTTTATTATAGCTTTTTGTACAGCTTCTGTTCGTAATAGATAGTTTTATGTAGGTATATGCAAGAAACAAGTTGGAAAACATTTAGGTGGCTCTCTGATTTTTTTCATAGTTGCAATAGGTGCGGATGTTGTTACTAAAAGTGTTTTTTAACGTTTCTGTTGCTGTTGTTGTTTCTGCTGTCGTGTGTATTACAACATTGATTTAGAATTTTCACTAGTGGAATTTATTTTCGCAAAACCTCTACACAAACGTATCACTCATCACCGTTTATTTAAGTCTACTAATTGACTTGTGTATTATTTTTGTTTGTAATTTCTAAATTTGGAAGGAGTAAGATCATCAAATGACTTTTACTGCCCTGGGTGGAGCGAGAGGGAGAGCCAGACTCTTACTGACTAAAAACCACGACGCTGTTTCTTCGGGTAAGGGCCGTGGTACATTATTGGGCCAACTAGCTACAACTGCCTAAAGGAATGCTTTATTGTAAACTATTTATCAAACTGTAGGTACAAAAATAAATGACACATATGGGTCTATGTTGTAAATTAGGCGGCTTAATTAATTTTAATACTTTTTGCACAGAATTGTACAATGGCGGACTTAATATGGATATTACCTAAAAGAAGAATACTTATAAAAGGGATATATCTTGTTTCTGCCTTGCTACTTGTTCTGAGATAGTCATAAAAGTAATGGGTAAGCGTGTCTCAGAGAGTACGTATATTTTTACGATATAAAGGAATATTAATGTGGATGCGTCTGCCTTTCTCATTATTCATCTTATTTTACTTCAGTTTCATATTACTTTTATTTGTTTGGTAACATACTTATTTATATTCCACACAGTTTTTACTTGAAATGTATGGTCTAGAGTTTACTTATAAATAATTCCGTAGAACAAAACAGATGTGGTTATTAATTTACATAATACGTTCGGTAAATTTTTCATGTCATGTATGTCTGTTAAAAAAGAAATATTGTTAAGGTTTTTCTAATCTACCTACTACCATCCTAAAATGAAGAGTCATCAAACACCCAGCGAACGCCGGCGTTCGTGTGTCTATTGTTCTTCTATCATGTCTCGAATTACCACGATCGAAAGATTATTTTTTTAGCTTTTAATATTTTTTATAACTTGGTATCTTATAAGTTTACAAGATTGGGCCCTCGAGGGCCCAAGGACTTATGGTAAGTGACCAGCGCCACACATGGATAAAATAACGAATTTGAAAATCTAACATTCTGAATTTATTATCCAGAGACAAAAATCTAACACGAGAACTCTCTTCGTCGCAAACTTAAGTATTCAAATATTATTATTTATGGTCGAAACGAAAATACATAACTGGTTGTAACAAAACACTCTACAGGCAATGATAATATTTGTTTCAAACAAAAATAGCATTACAATTTTTATCTCATATTATTTACAATTTTCAGCGAAATATTATCATGTAGTCAATATAAACGTTTATACTGAAAAGATATGTTTTGGCCTTTGTTTGATGCCTACGAAGACTGGGTAAATGAAGTTCATACATATTTCATGACAGAGGGTAAGTAAGTGTCCTAACATAGAGATAGGAAAACAATCCTCTATGTATATTTCAAGACTATCTGGTGCCACAGATTTGAGAGGATATCTGAACCTTTTATTCCATTTATAGTACTTTATAGGATTCCTTTTTTAATTTTGGAACGTTTTAAGAGCCAATCTTTTTAAATCAAACTTATGAAGAAATGACTCTGCAGCCAGTCGCTTGGATTTGTTCGAAATTCAAATATGTACAAATATGATTAGAAATTTGGGGTACCTAAACTATAGAATAGGAATAAAATATAGGCGTTATATTGCGGAAATTCATAATATTTAATAGAATTTATGGATTAATTCAAGCCATTCATCATTCCAATATCGTCTTTTAAATTCAAATCAAATCAAATCAAAATCAAATCAAATTCTTTATTTCAAATAGACCAAAAAAGGCACTTTTGAACGTCAAGCAAAAAAGATATCATAAGGTATAACTTTATATGTGTCAGTCTGTCCGTCTGTCCTCTAGTGAAGCTAAGCCTTTACTCAGACTCATAATACTTTTGTTTCTTTATCTTTTCATATAATAATTGATTTCGTTCGTTCATATTCTAAGTTTCCAGGAAACGAAGCAATCATTCCTTTAATTCACCAATAGTTCTAGTACAACGATTTAAGTTATAAGTTTCTATTCCCTAAAATAAAACTTTACCACACGAGCACAAAAAGCTACTCTAATCCTTTTATAAAATAAAGCTGAAAATTCATTGTAGTTTGACAGTTAAGAGGTAAACTTGATGTTTGTCTGTACCTACGTATACGGTGAGATAGTTTCAATACAATTAGTCACGAACTTCTTGTAAAACATTGTAGAGGTCCTTACTTAAAGGAGATGAAACACCTTTCTTAAACTTCCAAAGAACGTTATTCAGTTTTAAGTTGTTCTCGGTCTAAAATCTCAAACTGACTTGACTTGAAGCTCTGTGTTCTGTGTTGGAACCGTATTTTGAATTTGAATTCACAGTAGAATTTTCTATTGTTTAAAACCCAAAAATCTTTGCCTTTTTCCCACTAATGGAACATTATTAATTTAAAGACTTAAAAACACGAGTCTCTGTGGAGTTCTTCAAAGGCTCAGCTAAGCGATTAATTGAAACATCAAAGATTTCGTCTTATTCAGCTTAATTAGGAAATCGATCCAAAGGGAATTTTGCTTAATTAACTTAAACGCGATAACAAGGTCTTGCTTTTACAATGCTGTCTAAATAATTTAGCAGACTTAATATCTATTGAAAGACTTTGAAAGCAGTTTAAATGAGATTTAAACTGTATATATATCTTTTCTCTTCACAAGTGAAGTTCACAGAAGCTGAGACTCCTTTTCAGCGCTAACATTTCAACAGTAAATAAGTTTGGAGCAAACTCAAACAGTTGGCAGTCGACCGAGCAGAATTTAGTGGTTTTCATTAAAGTTCACTGTTCACAGCGATCTTTTGAAGAGCTATAATGAGGATTTCAAACTTGGAAAGTCGTTTTTAAAGCCAGTATTTTACGAAACAGGTTTTAATTATGAAAAGAGAATACTTTGTTAGTACTGGCTGTAGAAGACAATTAAGAGAATTGATTGCAGAAAGAATAAAGCTCTAATGGGATGACGTTTTAGAAGACAGCTTTGAGCTGTGCGTTTACTGATAAACCTAAATCTTTCTATAGCGATTTCCAATCTGTCTAGAAAATTGGCGAATTATAGCTGACTCTTATAAGCAAAGAAAGAAGGTTTATAACGGACTGTATTAGCTGTACATAATAATATTGCTAGCACTAATTTACTATTAGCTATTTTAACTACGGGTGCAATGCTGATACCAAATTTCTCAACTATTTAATGGATATTATTATACATATAAACATACCTTTTCAATCTTTCTATCTATTGAAAAACACACATCAAAATCCTTTGCGACGTTTTAAAGATTTAAGCGTACATAGAGTTTTAGGTACAGAGAAAGCAACTTCTTTTTATACTATGTAGTAACGTGTAAATATAATGTTACTTCTTTAGTTAACGTCATAAAAGAAATCCATAATAAACAATTTGCTCTTAAACTTACCATCAGGCTCTTCAACAGTTCTGTACTCCTGTATCACCACAAAGTCCTGGTTCTGCACTTTCGTGGCGCAGTACATGTCTTCAGGGTCGGCTGGCACAATGTCAGCTTGACGTTGTTGTACTAAGTTTAGGCAGTCGACTCTGAAAGTTATTGGTGTGCGTGTATTAAAATTAAAAAGAAGATTTGATATATTGTCGATATAAGTAAATGGAGATTCAATTAAATTTATTGAAAATAACAACTGACTCACGTGAATGACCTGAGAAATCTATTGGCTGAGCGACGTCGCCGCAACGCTGCTTATAAATAAGAGTCCCGTTGTGACTTGAAACTAGTACAGCTTTTCTCAGCTCTATCACGTAAATCGTGATTTTCAATAAATTTAGTATGTCTCACGATAGTTACTACTTAAAAAGTGATTCAAATGCTGTGTAGGGAGAAGTGTTAGTGATGCAGAGTTTCGTAATCGGTACTATTATATCGAGAATAGTATTATTAGTATGTTTGGGAGTTACAGCACGGAGTCTAGAATTATGCCTAGTTCACGATCAAAATGGGTAAAAACAAATTAAAAACACAGAAAAAGAGTAAGAAGCTAATTAAGAATAAAACGAAACAAGTTTAAAAGCAAACAATAACGGTAGGAATGAGGTAGAAAAGTGTAGTTCTAAAAACGGTACCGTAATTGTCTAAATTGGACAACTTGGCTCGCGTGTTGAGACATCTCCAGGTTTTTTGAGAGGCAATCTAAAAGTTAGGTATTGTTGGAATGTTGGCTTTTATTTTTGTTTAAATGATTAGCAGCTTATGGTAGGGAAAGGGATAGGTAGGGTATAGATATATGTCGCACGCAACTAGCTTAATTAGCCACCAAACCAACGCCTTAATGGCTAGTCGTTTGATTGAATGGCTATATTCTCTACTTCAACTTGCAGCCTAAATAAAGATTCAGGTTCTTAGTTGAAGAGTTAGAGTTCTAGATATCGTTACCAACTAGCTTAATTAGTCATTCAATTAATGGCCTGAATGACTAGCTTTTTGATTGAATGACTGAATCTCTCATTCAAGCTATTAGGTTCAAAGGTGAAGGCATTTTTATGTTTTTATGGGAGCAAGATCTTGCTAGCAGAATACGGTAATTTCCTACTTGTCAAATTCAATACTTTTATCCAAATGTCAAAAACGATACTTTTCTATGAATTTTGTATGTAATACTGAGTTATGACGTCATAGTATTTTTACGTCAAATAGCTTACTTATTTCTTAAAAATTAGCTAAAAATATCTAAAACTTAGTGAATCGATCGATCGATGAATGAAAGTATAGTTATTTTTCAATATTTTATTGTATTGAAACGTCGATATAATTTATTTTTTACCTAGGAAACTTTCCAATTTTCGGTGTGATTATGTTCATCAAATAAATAGTTAGCAAACTTATTTGATTGCGATGAAACAGCTAGTTATTCAGGCCGGCTGCAACCCTATACCTACATAATTATAATGTTTTATATATAGATTTATTTTTGACCTTGAACCTAACACCGTGCTACAACAACACCTAAAAAATGAACCCCTTAATATACTAGTGACCTATAAGTAAAATACGTTGTTAATTTACTAGTATATGTATTTATGCAAGTAGTACGATACAAGTTGGAAATAAAGTCACTATGTTTATCATGGTGAATTTATGATCATTGTTCCTTAACAAGCTTGAAATTAGACGGGTTCACCCGAAAGTCGAATAACATAGTTGTTAAACGAATAAATAATTTAATTATTGTATTTACTCACCTGTCCCTGGCCGGTACGCATTCAATCTGGGTCTTGGATTTCGTGGGTGCATTCGCCATTTCTTGACACGATTTTAAGTACTGCGATGGGACGCATATTTTAACTAAAATATTCGTAAAATAATAAATTGCAATGAAAAGGTTATTATCCTTTTTTATTTGTAAATAAAAGCTATCTTATAAAAAACAATATTTGTTCGATATTTGAAATTATATTCTTTCTTTATGAATAAAAATAGTGATTTGAAAGACAGTAAGATATTTTTAGAGAAAAGAATAATAACTCATATATGTGGTAATCGTAAGTCTCAATAACTCGTGGTATTTGAATAGTTTTTGATTCCAAATCGTTTGCCACTTATAAAAAAATATTCAAGGTCACTGACCTCTGTTATTTAGTTTTATTCGTATGTACTGTTAGGTACGTGATAGAATGACATAATATCATAACACCTAATATGTTGTTCAATTTCGAAATGGAAGTTTTTTTTAGGAAGCAAACTTAGGTTTTATAATTTTGTAATAAGCACTTCAACCGACTAAACCTAATTATATAGTAATATATAGACTAAAAATAATTGTAGTTAGTAGATACTACATTTACATAAAGTCGTGGAGTAATAGTAGGTGCCTATATCGTTAGTTACACCGCTGACAAACTATTCGATCCTAGACGATTTATTGAGACAGTTACTCACAGACATAAATCGAATAGTAATCGATTCACGAAATTCGGTATCGAAATGGAATAAACACATCAAACGAATGGTTTCTACCACAATTTATTGGCCATTATATGTTGGATTCAGAAAGCAAGATAGATTCTGGAAGAATGTAAAGTTGCAAGTTTTATCTAGTTTATTGTAGTAACAGCAATAATTGTTAGATTTTTTAGTACTTACATACTTTGTGAATATACTAACTATTAGTATAGGTACATATATAGCTATTGGCATGGCAAAAATCGTAGAGTTGTTGATTTTACCTATTTGAAGGTGTTAAATACCTATGAAACTTTATATCGATATTTAATCTTCGACTACTTATCCTGCATAGGAAGCCAGACGTTCCGCAACAAACGTTACGAAAGTTAAAAATATTTGCAGATGATATTTGCAATATGAGACGGGGTCAAATGTTAGACACAACATGAGGTAGATAGCATATTCACCTACATTACACACATTGATATTATCCGACTGTTATTTTTTTCTTATTGTATTGAAAACTAAAAATATAAATAATAATTTTGAAATACTACCTACTTAATATTATTACTATACTTATTCGATACACAAAAAAATACCCGCGACCACAACATTACACTAAGCCAATACAAAAATAAAAATAAAAAAAATATAATTTCATATTTCGAACTCCATAAACAAAACACAAGACACTATTTATAATACACTTAAAAAATATATAGAACATACATGATGATTTGCTATGCACACAGACACATGTTAGGACGATCAGATAAATTGTTAATATTCTTAGGTACTTCGCCATGGTCAAGGCGAGCGCGCTATCGCCTTACTACCGCGGGCCGTCCAAGAAACTTCTTTTATATTCACACGTTATCTTATTGTGATTGTTCCATCACAAAAGCGAACACAGAGGTGGGCACTGCGTTTATTGAACAAATAACCTGAGTAGTATACAGTTCCTAGATCGTATGACTCTGTGCAACGTGTGATGTTTATTGGAAAACAACGCGACACAGGCAGACAGTAAAGCATTTTGCGATCGTTTATATCAAAGTTTTTATGAATAAATTGTAGATTTAAAATTTAAACTATAATTGTAGGAAGAAAGACAAGTATGATGTAGGTACTATACTATTCTACCACTGCTGTAAGTAATTTTCTTCAAAATCAGTTTTAATTCTTCGTTTTATAAATATGTATACCTACTGGTATCCTATTAAGTAGATTGTTACCAACCTTAATAATGATAAAACTACTCACATAATTATTTCGTTGTGCCATTCTATAATAGGTTTAAATTCATTTTTTTAAGAAAGTGCTTACCTTCTTCTTTTATTGTAGGTGTTCACAACAATCTTCAATGCCATAAGCTTTGATTTGGTATAAAATAACCAAGGCCTTAAGTAAGCACTAGGATCAGTGTTCGCTTGGGACTATTGAATATTGATCAAATATTAACATAAGGAAAATATTATTGAATTAATGTATATAATATAATCTTTATGTAACTATCCGAATTTTAAATAAATAAAACAAATTTTAAATTCGTTTATATTGGACATCAAAACGCGTTCGATATTCAAAATTAAAAAAAGAAAAAAAATGTCGTAATTGTCAATATTTTTGTCTGGCCAGTATTTTTCTAAAAGTCAATGAAAAGATAAAAATAAAAAAGAATAAATTGGCATTACGGGCGTACTATTATTGTTTGGTTTAAAAAAAAACAAAAACGTTTCATTATCTGTACTTGCAGTAAGTGTATCTGAATAATGGCATTTATTCGCACAATTGTATTAGCTTAGAATATGCTGTATATGTTGAATAATATTTTATGGCTTTAGCTATCTAACGGCTAAAATTTAAATATTGAATATTGTTAGGACTATTTAAATAATTACATATAGACAATTTATATTTTTTGTCAGATTACAGAATTCCACAGCCTTAAATCGAGTGAAATAAAAAAAAATACAAATGTCACTTTTAATTTTATTTTTGAAGTTTTATCTTTGCGATGTTTGGTTATTTAACTTATAATTAATGATGGATTGGATTCATTGTAATAATTGTTTCGCTCAATTAGAACCTGGTATTACTCTTCATTTAACATCATGCGGTCACATGTTTTGTAACTGTTGTTTAGAAAAAGGTAAGTGTACACATATCATGATTTATTCATAGCTTGACAAAAATTTTTGTTTTAACTGTTTTTTCACTGTATGAATTTCTTATAGGCGGTAAAGATAGTACATGTTTAATATGCCGAGCGCCGTGTTCCATCATGAAACTCGTTCCGGACGTATGTAATTTCGCAAAATATTGCCTCCGTACCGGCTTCACTTACAAATCCTTGAGCCGTAATTTTCTCATTAATGATTTAATTTTAAGATGAAACAAGAGATTCAAGATTACTTTACCGATCCGGAGGAACTAATTAAAAAGTCCTGTGAGGTGTTACAGTTTCAGAGGCAACATAGACGGCGGTTGTTATCTTATTTATTACAATCGGTGAGTTAATTATTTTCTTGTTTAGTGTTTTCGAAAATTATATTCTAAAGACATAAATTTCATCAATATACTTATCTACTTTCATCAGTTTTGGATATTTTGTCGTGTATTTTATTTAGAAAATATGAGTGAAAAACCTCACTATAAAATTCTGCCTGTGTTAGTTGACAAATTCAGTCTCAAAGAGATTGGCTAATGTTTTCAAACGACACAAACAAGGTTTTATTCAAAATTTTCCTTCTTTTTCCTTTTTAAAATACGACATCATGTTTTGCGTTGCAAAATAGACCTTAAAGGAATGTGATTAGGAGCTATTTTGTGATGCTGATGTACACTCAAAGGGAACTTTGAATATGTAATGGTGAATTTAGCTTTAACGAGTCGGGTAGGAAAATGTAGAGTATTTTTCATTGTGCACTAGTAAGGCAAAACAAAACAAGAGAAAACTAAGTTAGGTTGTTAATGCGAGGTAGTACATTGAAGCTCGTATTATCGCTTAAGGCTCTTATTGTACATAAAATAAGCTTTAAAAGACATCAAGTTAGAATTTTTAGAGTGGGGAATATCAATAAATAATATCTCTCGCCACGAGTGAGGTGAGTGTAAGTCTCATATTGATTTAAGACCTCCTTGTCCATCTTCCTGCGTGGGCCAAGAGGGAGTTTCAATCTCTTATTGACTAAAAACCATCTCGTACCTTTTCTTGCTCAGGGCCACGGCACAGATTAAGTTAAAAAAAAGTTTTGGCTCACAAAATAAGTATTGTTTATCGAGTCGCATTTGGAATTTCGATATCATTCTATGTTGCTCCATCAGCTACGAATTGTACTAAACTACTAGATACTAGGTCTAGATACCCACTGTGTAAGTTTACCTTTGTGGCTCATAAAAGCCGTATTATTCATGTATTCGTTTCTTTCAGACGAAAAAGTTTCACACAGCCCGTACCGAGTTGAAACGTATGACGGAACTGTGCCAAAAGCAACACAATCAACTGAAGGAATACCAGAGAACCATTAGGAGTTTAGAAGCTCAACTGGCTAGCCAATCGAGTAACAGTTTTCTTACGAATTTTAATAAACCATTGAGTACCTAGCTGCGTAATTATCAGTTTTTAAGTTTGTGAAACATTTTATATTATGAGTTTCGAAAAACATAACCCCAAAGAATTTGATTTGCAACTCTTAGTTACTGATTATAAGTGTCATAGTGTCAAGAAGACGTCTGCTCGGTTAAGTAAAGTAGGTGAGCCATGCTTCGGTCACAAATTGGTCGGTTCGATCACGGCCTCACAGAAAATCGGGCGTGACGCAACTACGGCGATGCATTTCGCCGTTTGAGTGAGGTTACCGGAGACCCAATCTTTTCCCTTCCTCCCTATCTCTCCATTACCTGAATTCCCCTTATGGGAAAAAGGCCGGGAACGCACTTGGAACTCCTCTGGTGTTGCGGATTGTTTACCATAAGGCAATCAGCCTGCTTGTTTGCGTCTCAAAACAAAATATTGCTCTTACGAAGCTTATGAGAAAACTATTCTAAATTTAATACTCAGATGTACATATTTCCAGAGCAAATATCGCCGTTCAACATCCCCATATCGCCGGGGAGCAATATATCCCCGAGCTTCGTGCAAACCACCCCGACTTACAAGCGAAATGCGAAAAGTACTCCATTTTCGGTAAGTGTCATCCATATTTATTTTATGTAAAGTAGAGTCCTCTGTGGACAAAATTCAGCCGCAATTTATTAATTAGTTTGTGAATATTATTAATGACATAGCTAGTGGAATGTCGGTGTAGTAAGTTCTATTCTTTTTACCATTTTAACGTGTTAGTGAATTTGTTTGTTTACTAGCTTTTCGTTTGCGTGGAATACAGACTTCCTGCAGATTTTTGGTATAAAGACTATTCTATGTCTTCTCTCGAGTTACCAACTATGCCTGTAGCAAATTTCACAGAAATCGGTTCAGTAGTTTAGGCGTGAAGAAAAGACAGACAACCAGATAGAGCTACTTTCGCATTTATAATATTACTTATAGTGGATCTTGTATGTCCCTTAATGATGATCATCCTTCTTAGGTTTTTTGAAAGGTGTAAATAAAACAAACGAACTCGCATTTATTCGCGCCTAGGACGCATATAGAACATAATAAACAAGTGCATAAAAATATAAAACAAAAAATAATCATGGTAAAACAATATAACAAAAGAAACATATGCGTCTCAAGCACGCGAAGTGTTCGTTCGCTCAGCATTTTCAAATGGCTTTTCTCGCCCTGTGTAAAGAAAGAATGTAACTCTTACTGACTAAACTAATCCGTTCCTTCTTCTACTTTAGGCCAGGTCTGCCTGGCTGACCTATAATAATGCTGAGTTGAGACCGTTAGACTGAGCAAAAAAACTGGATAGTTCAGATTTCATAGATTCTTTTTGTAATTATGTGGAAGATAGACCAACTTAGCTAGCATTGTCTCGTATTAACCTACACATTGTCATTGAGAAAACACACTTGCGTTGGTTTCACTATGTAAGAATGGATACTGGAGGGTCAATCTACTAAAATACGGTAGTTTCCATCTAGTCAAATTCACACCGCGACCTCAGCCTAGACCGGGAGAAGGAACAGGGGGGTCTTTAGTCAGTAAGAGTCTGACACTCCCTCCCGCCCGGCCCTGGGCGGGAGAAGTCATATGATGATATTCCCCTCACAAAAAAAAAATCTAGTCAAATTCAATACTTTTATCCAAATGTCAAAAACGATACTAGAAAAACTGAGTTATGACGTCATACTATTTTTGCGTCAAATAGCTTACTTATTTCTTATAGCTACAAAATATCTAAAACTTAGTGTATCGATCGATCGATGAATAAAAGTATAGTTATTTTTCAATGTTTTATTGTATTAAAACGTCGAATTAATTTATTTTTGACCTAGGAAACTATCCAATTTTGGCAATGCTTTTTTTACTTTGGAATTGCGAGCGATACGGCCGGCTCTCTATCCACCCTATTCTATAAAAAGATTGAGAAATGGAGATTACTCCTTTGAAAAATATGAAAAACAGACTAGGTTATGAGTTTTAATCATATAGGCTATAATACAACTCAATATATTATAACTCAAGATATTCTAATTGGAAAAAACGGCTTACTCTTGAAGTTGAAGTAACCGAGAAAAGTTCTATTAGTTTTTAGTACCTCTTACGATAGTTATTACAAAAAAACGATAAGTAGATACCACGTTGTTTTGTTTATTTTATCTATTTCACGTATGCATAATATTTTGGTTGAATTTAGGTATTTCCCGGCGTTATCTTATAACAAGAA